CACCATTGAATTTTTTTTTTAAAAGTAGAAAAGTCTGTGTATGGTGGTGCACACCTTTGATCCCAGCACTAGAGAAGCAGAGCCAGGTGCATCCCTATGAGTTTGAGGCCAGCCTGGGCTACATAGTGAGTTCCAGGACAGCCAGGGCTATATAGAGAGACCCTGTCTCAAAACAAAACAAAAACAAAGTAGAAATGATATAAATACCATACAGGGAAGCCCCTTGAGCCCCTCCAGTGGCCAGGCCCCTCCCCTGAGGACCTCTAACTGCCAGGTTCCACCCACAGAATACTCTAACTGCCCTAACTGCTAAACCCTGGCCCCACCCTGCAGAGCAAAAAGCCCAATCTCTGAACATGAAATCCCATCAATCTCCACCCTGGAAAGCTCCACCTTGAAAAGTTCCACCCCCTTTCCAAAAAGCTCTATATAAGCCTTGTATCCTGTTCAGTTTGCTGCTGTTTCTTGCTTGAACAGAGGCAGCCACCCTCCTGGTTTTTTCCCTCCCAATAAATCTCTTGCATGAGGTTTGTTTTGCGGTGTGACTTGTGGTATTCCTTGGCTTCCAGCTGCCAGGACAATTTTCAATCTGAGCTGTAATGCTTATAGTACTCATGTATGGAATTCTTAAAAAAAATAAAAAGTTTCAGTTTAAAAATAAAAGCTTCAGGTTTAATCATATTATCCCTGACTGAAATCATAGGTGGCTTCCTGTTGCCTACAAGTAAGATTCCCTAGCAACAGCCGAGACTTCGATTGTCCCTGGCTCTGAGCTCTCTCCAGGCTCACACCCATTTCACCTACTGGTGTTCCTTGTGTTCTGTACAGGTAGACTGATTCCGATTCAGCTATCTTTGCTCCACTCTATCTCAGCCCAGATGTCCTTCCTGTTGCAAAACTGTCTCCTGATCTCCAGGCCAGATCACTTCCTGTGCTACCACAGTTCTTTAGAGTTTCATTGGAAGACTCAGACCATTCTGTCCAGAATATGCTTCCTTGGGACAAAGTATGTGACCTGTTTCTTTCTGAAAAGCAGGGCTCAGAGATATTTTAGTGGAGCCTATGGGAGCAGTTCCAGCCAACCTCCCTTCCAACTCCAGGCCGGGTAGAAACCTCTGTTCCTAGAGTTTTCCTTTGATACGACTACACTTCTCCACTGCTCAGCTGACTGGGCAGTGAAACCGTCTTTAATTATTCTAGACTCATAGAAATTTTCCTACTGGGAATATGCATTTAGTTTCTGAGTAGTTCACTATCCAGCACTTGACTGTAGATATTAAAATGGAATTGTAAGGATGAAAATGAACCTTAAAAGGCCATGCTTATCAACATTTAATGTCTATACAAATCACCGGATCCCCACAAGTTGTCCTCTGACCTCCACATGCATGCCACGGCACATGCGCAGCCACACAATCAATAAATAAACACATACATAAATACATAAATAAATTTAATAAAAAGAAAGTCCTTGATGGAATGGTGGGTGGAAGAGGCCAGACACCAGGTAAGACAATAACACTCGAGGAAAGGAAAGAGATGGCTTTTTCTACAAGTTTGGATGTAAAGGATAAGAAAGAAATCTGAGAATTATTTTCCTTTCGTTGTTGGGTGAGGGGGACGGAACTGGTGCAGTGAGGTGGGGAGGGGGTGAACCAATGATTGAGACTTTGGTCATGACACAAGGACCCCCAAGGGATAGTCTGGATGGGACCCAGGACAGAGCGGCTGTGATGGGCCCAGCATACCCGTTCTCTTGGGGCAGGAGAGACAGCTGTCTGCTCATGGTAAGTTGGCCCGGTGGTTAGTGTTCATGTCGGAATCTCTATTGCTTCTGAAAAGCAAAGCCAGCTGCTGAAAACTCAAGGTTGACAGTGGGGTGGGCAGGAAAGGACATGGTGGCAGGATTGCACCACAGACCGTGCTGTGTGCTCTTGGTAACAGTCTGCTCATGTGATATTATTATTATTATTATTATTATTATTATTATTATTATCTTAACTAATACAATTTAGTGACTTTTTTATGGGCCTGGACAGATGGTCCAGCAGTTAAGGGCACCTGCTGCTTTTACAGAGCACTGGGGTTTGGTTCCCAGCAACCACATCAAGCAGTTCACAATTGCCTGGAACTCCAGCTCCAGGGCACCAGACACATATACATACATACACATAAAAAATAAAATAAAATGGAACATTTTAAACTTAGGTGCTTTTTCGGTGAGATGAAAAAGCAAATGGCTGGACTAAAGCCACAAAGGTGGGAGAAACCAAAGGCAAGGGGATTTTAGGTCGGCGAAGAGCTTCACCCTGAATAAACAGATCCAAGCAGCATGGTAGACGGGGATGGATTTCTGATTCTTCCCCAGTTGAGGTATCTCTTGTCTGTGATGGTGTGATAATTCTTTTTCTTTTTAACTTTGGACAGAGGTCCTTTGGAGGAACAATAAACTGCTGTCACAGACTTATTACTCCTCTGGCTACAGCTTACAATGCACTTCCACACATCACTGTCAGATTCTGCCATCATCCAGAAAGAAAGGAAGACAGAAAACAGCATGATTATGCAGCCCTTCCCCACTGTTCAGATGATAAAATTGGACCTGACCAAATAGGGATCCCAGGGAGGTCCCAGGTAGATACATCTTCTAAAGCTGAAGTGATGGAGGATTCGCTTTTTGACCAAAACATGGTTTGCTTGTAGCAGACAATTTGCACTTGTGAAACGGGTAATATCATAAATTAAGGTCAATGTTGCTGTTGTTGTTTTAATTGGGAGCAAGAAAAGGTCACTCTGTATAGCTAACCCAGGCTGACTGGGAAACTCAAGATGTCCCTGCTTTAGCCTTCTTAGTGCTAAGATTGCAGGAGTGAGTCACCATACCTGACCTTCACTTAATCTTTACAGACAGTGTTTTAGACTCAAGTGCCCAGGCAGGTTGACACTCTAAGTAAAAGGTGACCAAAGCAACAATTGTAAAAAGGAGATTAATGCTGAGACTCAGTGCTGGAGAGCTAAGAAAGCCACCATGAAATGCCTTGGAGCAGGTTTGCCTATGGAGAACTGGATAGGCCTTCTCTGTGCACAGAAAACAGCTGCAGACCGCTTACCATTGACTTCTGCTGCTTGGTGGTCGCCTGTCTGCCAGCCTGTACAGATACTGTTTCATTAAATCTTTGTCAAGAAATTGAAATTTTTATATGAAATATGATCTTTAGCTGGAGCAGTTTAAAAACAACAACAATGGATTGAATCAACAGTTCTTCATGTGAGAGTAGACTGCTAGTTTGAAGTATCTACTGGAATGCTAATAACTTTCCTCCACCTCCTCCCCTCTGATAGAAAATGCTCTTGAAAGTATCCAGGACTCCTCAACTTCTGTACTATAAACTCTCTAGTAGGAGATCTCAATCCTACTCTATCTCAACTTAGTTATTTGGACAATGTACTTAATATTTATGTATAATAATAATAATACATCATAGTATGCATACACACATACACATATATGGGCATGTGTGCTTTTTAAAAATACATGACACTGGATAGTAATCCTAGAAGTTAAGTGTTCTTAAAGTACATCATATTCTGTAATACTTGCAACATGTGGACATATTCCATTTAGTCCAAGACCTCAGTATTTAAGGGAAACATTCTGGACTGCTTTAAGACTCTGCTGTTGGGCTGTAGACATGGCTCGGCTCACAACCAAAACGACAAGAACTGACTGTCATTGCTCCTAAATGGCTCTACCAGGTGAGCCCTAGACAACAAAGATGGGAGAATCACAAGGACTTATTTGGAGAGAATTTGGCCAAATCATTTTGAGCCGTAGACACATTTAACAGTGAGTAGTTTTTTGTGGTTTTTGTTTGTTTTGTTTTGTTTGTTTTCCAGATAATGAGGCAAGTGGAACTTCTGAGTTCATCTCTTTGTGCCCCGGGGACCCTACCTAACCTGGCCCCGTTACCTTTGCAACAGCTTTATTTCTGTACCTTTCTTTTCGGAAGTGAAAGACGGCCTAGACCTCCTACGTGTCTCCAGAATCACAGGTCAAGCATTCAATAGGAGAGGCACAGAAAACAGTTCATAAAAATGTCACGTTGGAATGAAGGGACACACACCACTGTGTTGAGCCCCAGTAGCAAGCTCCCAATGTTATAAGGCTTATTTAGGTCATTATTTTAAGAAGGAGAAAAAAGGCGCGTGGGGGTGGAGGTAGATTGTTTTGTTTATTTATTGCCTGAGTACTTACAATGTAGTGCTCTCTCGAAGGCCACAGTTTTGTGTTAGCTGCCTTCCTCCATCACTCTCCTCTTTATTTACTGAGGCTTTGGTCTCTCCTGGAACCCAGAGCTTGCCCCAGGGACACCCTCCTCCACTCCCAGCCCCACCCCACCTCTGCCTCCACACTTACCCGGCTTTACATGGGTTCCGGGAATCCGAACTTTACTGAACTCACACTGTGTTTTATGTGCTGAGCCATCTCCCCAGCCCAAGACGTCTTATATATCTTTTTCTTAGATTTATTTTATTTTTAATTATGTGTGTACGGGTGTTAAGGATATGTGTACGTGTCAGTTCAGGTGCTGCTGAGGCCAGAAGAGGGCACCAGACACCCTGGAGCCAGAGTTACAGGTGATTGTAGGCCACCCAACTGGGTGCTGTGAACTCGGGGCCTTTGCAAGAGCAATAAGTGCTCCTAACCACTAAGCTATCTCTCCAGCACCCTGCCCAAGACTTAAAAGATATTGAAGTTGTGACATGAATCGCAAGCTCTGAAAATAAAAACAAATCGCTTGAATTGAGAGCTGTGACCATGAAAGCACCCACACCCAGCGCCAGCTCTTCTATCCTCGGTGGCAGGTATGCTCCCAACGCCCCCCGCCCCCCATGAGGAGGAGCACCAGAGGATGACGACACCGGGGCGGGGAAAGCAGCCCAGGCTCACGGGGGAGATCTCGTGCATGGAGGCGGAGTTGAGACCCAGTAGCTGGAGAGCGGAAGGGCCGGGGACAGAACACTAAGACCAGGAACCCGCATTGCGCATGCTCTGGGGCTGTGGGCGTTGGCGGCTGCTCAGGATCTGCCTTTACTTCCCAAGCACATCAAAAGAGCATTGTCCATCAGGTGAATGTCTTGCTGTCCCTTAAGGTCCCCACGATGGTCCCTGAACACACTGGGCATGGAGCCTTGGTCTGTGTGGAATCCTGGGGCTGGGATAACACAGAACTTCGCCGCCTGCCAGCCATCCCATTAGGAATGGGGCAGAAAGCTTGTGCATTTCACAGCTTCGAGGTCAGTGCGCGATTTGGATTAAGCTCGGGTCAGAAAACTCTTTCCTGAGTGGAGGAGGGTGGTCAGCTGGAGTTGAACTCTTTGCTGGGGTAAACATTAGGATAACATCTTAGAATCAGCGGAAATATGAGCTTCCAGGGTAGAAAGTAAGGACCAACAAAAGGTGTGTATGAGAGCCAGGAAAAAGTCCCCAGGAGACTGTAGAATGAAAATTAGGCTTGAAACATGGCATGCAGTCCATTGAGAAAAGTTGCAAAACTCAAAGGAAAAGAGAGGGACAGGGAAAATTATTCTTGCCTTAGCAATTATGTGCTAAGTGTGGCCTGAGGGCTTTGTCACAAGAAGGACTTCTGGATTGGCTTTCTCCAATTGAGATTAAGTGCAGACCCAGAGATGGCTCTTGAGGCTAGACTATAAACAGCACAGGACTCTCAGCCTCTTACTGGACCTGGTGACCCGAGTTTGAGATGTAAATTACATAATGCTACTGATCAGTTTCCAGGTATCGTAGTTACATTGCCTTGTAAATATTAGGTACAGACCTTCAATCTGTATGACAGTGTATGTTACCTGCTTCCATATTTATTTCAGTTTTTATTCACCACACTTTCTTCAAAGCCTGCAGCAGAGAGAGGGGAGAAAAAGATGAAAGTGAAGTCTTTGTCACACAGGAGGAGGCTGTGATTCTTCACTTGGGCTCCAAAGACAACAATTTACTGTTTAGAAGGTTTCTTTTCAGCTCATGTATTTCTTTGATCCTCCTGTCTCAGTCTCTCCTGTGCTAGGATTTTAGGCATACATCACCAGGCTGAGCCTGGTCCATGATTCCTACTCAATTGATTTTGGGAAGCAAATCACAGTTAATGAAAAGATGAGAATTTTTGAATGTGTCAGGTAGAATACCCGAGGATTATGATGCTTTTTATAGAATATGACTGGTGGGATGCTTTTGTTAAATTCTGCTTTTTCTGTACCCTACTGCTATAGGGTAGCTGCTGCTATATGCTTAGTGGATTTTTATTTGGACAAAATGCTGCCCACTGTTTCAATTTCCATTGGAATCTTTTTGGCACAGCATCCTAACACAACTCAAAGAGTCTGGAAGAACATGATTTAAGAAACACAACTTTTAAAAACCTTTGTGCCATATGACAGTAGATTTACTGAGGTAAAGAGAAAACCCGCACTGGACTGGAGTCTGTCCTAAGTGGGAAAGAGGAGACATTAAGATATTTAAAAAGAGGCCCAGTAAGAGCCCGAAGAGAAACACATTGCTAGAAGCACTCTTTACCACTGAGCCTTCTCTCCCATTCCAGCATCCACGGGTTTCTAAATGGCAAGCAAGGAGCCAAACCTTTTACTAATAAAATTGCCATCTACTTGCTGTGGGTCATAATCAGCCACAAGAACTGCTGACTTTAATTCTAGTACTTTGACAATGGATGTGTAGGGCGTCTGATACAGAAATTGTTAATCCTCAGTTTCCTCAACCTTTAGGAAAAGCTTTAACTGCAAAAACAAATGGCAATGTCTGAAAAAGGGGCCGGCCTTCACCTGCAGCCAGCTTTTAAAGAGAGAATGCCAAGTGCTGTTGGAGGGAGATTTTAATACAGCAAATGCGATTTTCATCCAGCTGTACAGTTTTATCCAGTGTCTTGTTGATAACTGTTTGTTTATTTTATATCCTTTATGGAATACAAACATTCTAAAAACATCTTCAGATTTGCAAAAAGAACTGGTTTAACATTTTTGTCTTCTCTGTTTTATTTAATAAATCATTAATGTTTTGTTGTGTAGAGGATGTGTGACTGCTAATGTTTTCTGTAATTTATGGGCAAAATTTGCAGAGGCATCAGAAAACCAAGTATGTGTTTGAAGTTCATTTTATTGTGTTTTTGGTGTTTTGAGACAAGGTCTCCCTATATAGCCCACGAGGGCCAATTTAGGATCTTCTTCTTCAGCCTCCTTGAATGTTAGGGTTATGGGTGTGCACCATCATGCTGGGCTTGGGGTTCATTATGGTGATATTTTATTTGTACTGAAATGTGATTTTATTTGTTTGTTAATAAATAAAGTTGCCTGGAGGTCAGAGCTAATAGCAAGCCATCGCAGAAGCTGGGCGGTGGTGGTACACGCCTTTAATCCCAGCTCTTGGGAGGCAGAGCTAGGCGGATCTCTGTGTTCAAGGATACAGTCAGCATGAAGACACACGCCTTTAATCTCAATACCAACCGTAGAAGACCTGGAGGTCTGTACAGACAGGCAGTGACGAGGAGGTCATGTGGTTGGGTTTACAACCAATGAGAAGGCAGAACAGAAAGTTTTTATAAAGACAAACACACAGGAAGTAGCTCTCTTGGCTGAAGAGGATAGCTACAGGGTGAAGGGTAAGGCTCTTAGTTCTGACCTCTTGGGCTTTCATCTTTGCATTGGTTCTGTGTTTCTTATTGAATAAGACGGTTACTTCTACAGTTCACTATAGAAGGTCTTGAAGAATGGGAAGAATTGGTAAACTAGAAATTGATTTCTGTTGTATCTAACCTTGGCACACGAGCAGTGAGAATCCCAAGTGTCTTTAAGCCAATCGTTGAACTGTCCTATCTACTAATTAAGCAAATAAATAAATAATGAAAAGGGGGGCTGGAGAGACGGCTCAGGAGTTAAGAGCACTGACTGCTCTTCCTGAGGATCGAGTTCAATTCCTAGCAACCAGATGGCAGTTCACACCTGTCTGTAACACCACTTTCAGGGGACCCTGACACAATGGCAAAACCACAAATGTACATTAAAAAAAAAAAAACATAAGTAACTTAGACTTGACTCTTTTCTATTCCAAATCTATTCAGTATTTTTCCATCCCTTCCAAGTCTCTGCCCTGAGTATCTCATATACATCTGTATCAGTGTCCGGGGGAGGCCAGCTCCCGAGAACCACTCCAGGGTTGTGAATAGAAAACCTCAGAGTAGCGAGGGCTTTAGGAAACTTTTTTTTTATCTGAGAGTATTTAGAAATAAGTTTGTGTCTACCTGACAGGTAAATAAGGAAACACACCACTTTCACTTCACCTTAAAAAATCCTCTTTGAAAATCTCTCTTGTTCCACATAGCTTCATCTCTTTATATACAGCTATATATCTCTCTTTACATACATACATCACAGAATCTCTTCATGCACATCTCTCTTGCTCTCTCTCCTGCCTAGCTATTCATTCTCTTTCCTCAGTTGCCTCTGTGCGGGTGTGCACGCGTATCCCCCCCCCCACTGACCTCTAGCTCTTTCACACAGCTCCCCTACATAGCTCTGTACAGCCCCCTCACATATCTTTACATACAGTTATATATTTCTCTACTCTGTTACATTCCTTCACACACTACTGCATCATTCATTCACTCCTTACTCATTCGCTCATCATACTCTCAATCTCTTCTCTGCCCAACTTTAGACAATTATATGTTACATTATCTCTGCCCACTCAGCTACATCCCTCACTTAGCACATGTTGCTGGAGAATTTCTCTCCAGCTCCTGCCGCCAAGTCCCGCCAGTCCCGGAGCCCACTTATAAAATAAACACACAGACTCTTACATTATTTAAACTGCTTGGACATTAGCTCAGGCCTATCATTGTCTAGCTGTCACTCTTATATTCAGCCCATTTCTGTTAATCTTTACTTTGCCAGTGGCTTGTGACTTACCAGTACTTTACATCTTTCTTGTCTTGGCGGTGGCGGCGGCTCCAGGCGGTCTCTCTTTCCTTCCTCCTTCCTCAATTCTCTTCTCTCCTTGTCCCGTCTATACTTCCTGCCTGGTCACTGGCCAATCAGTGCTTTATTTATATAGAGCAATATCCACAGCAAGCACACACACCAACACACACTCACACACTCACTCCTCTCTCACAGCCAAACTCTGGACAGTTATATGTTACATTTTCAGGGTCCAAACCATTCTCATAACAAATGATAAGTCACACAGTTTTTCTCAGGCTAGGAAGGGCAAGCTGACTGGCCAGTGAGTAATGCTTGGCCATGCACTTAGCTTTAAGTTGATGAGGGTTCCTAGACAGAAAGTGAACAGTTGGCTGAACCTTGAGCCTATAACATAAACTGAGGCTGGGGCTATTAGTAAAAAGTCAGTTACTTCAGGGGGTTGCGTCTACCTACTTCAGTTCTGACCTTGATTCAGCATCAAACACCTGGGACTTATCTTTATTCTCTGCAGGGGAAGCCAGTCTGTTTTGAACTTATTCTGAAGTCCAAAATTAGCTGTCTTTGTGACTGAGAATACTCTTATTTTCCTGTATCAGTTATGAAAATATTCTAGTATTATTAGAATTGTAAAGCTTAAACAGAAATCGTCTTCCTGACCATCCACAGTCATAAGTGTGCCCAAAGACATAAAACACACTATCAATGGGCTGTGGAAAGAACCCCTAGCTGTTCTTTTTAGGGAGGTAAGTGGTAGCACATGAGAAAGTTACAGACAGAAAACAACCAGTTTCCACAGCCAGTGACCCCACGGACTTTGCCTAGTGGGGCTCCTCAACAGAGTGCTATTTATCTGATCGGTCGACCTGTTAACCTGATAAATACTGGTTGTCACCTGCTGTATACTCCCACAGCCTCCTGCACATCTGCTCTCCATTCCCACATCCATTTCTAAATTCAGTCCCATAGTATAGATTTCTTTTTTTAAGTGACAGCCACCATTTATCATTTTTTAAATTAATTAATTTTTTTTTACATATATAGGTGTTTTGCCTTATTTATACATGTGTACCACTTGCATGCTATGCCTGTGGAGACCAGCAGATCCCCAGGAACTGGAGTTACAGAGGGTTGTGAGCTGCTATCTGGGTACTGAGAATTGAACCTGGGTCCTCTGCAAAAGTAGCCAGGACTTCTAACCTTTGAGCCATCTCTCTCTCTAGCCCCTCTAATATTCCTTATTAGGATACTAAAAGTGTTCTGCCCCTGAAATACATCTTTATTTAATCAAAAATTCCCATTCCTACTGTTGTCATGGAACTACATTCCTAGGTATTTTGAAATTTTAAAAGTTGAGATGAGCCGGGCAATGGTGGCGCACGCCTTTAATCCCAGCACTCTGGAGGCAGAGGCAGGCGGATCTCTGTGAGTTCGAGGTCAGCCTGGTCTATAGAGTGAGTTCCAGGCTACACAGAGAAACCCTGTCTCAAAAACAAAAACAAATTGATATGATAATTTTTCTATCATATTAGGATATATTTATAACATATTTAGTCCCAGAACTCAGGAAGCAGAGACAAGTGGATCTCTGTAATTTTGAAGCCAGTCTGGTCTACACATTGAGTTCTCCAGGATAACCAGGGCTGTCTCAAAACAAAACAAAACAAAAAATAAAACTAACCAAACAAAAAACTTTATTGTGTAAGTAATTTTTGTATGTATCTTGTGTATTCTCCTGTTGAAAAGCTTTCTAATTTATGTCTGAAATTGTTCCATGTATTCCTTGGGTTTTCAATGTGTACATATCTATCATTTATAAAAATGATAATCCTATCTTCCCAGGAATTGTAACTCTTGTGTGTCTTATGACATTGAGCAGCATTTCTTTTCTTTTTTTTTTATACACCAGAAGTTGTTTTAGTTATTAAGTAAAGTAATGGGTTTCCTTAAGACATTTTCATACACACCTCCTTGTATTTGCTCATACCTATCATACTACTAACATCCATGTGTCTGCCCCACCACCACCAAAGAGTCTCTTTCCTTCTTCTTTTTACTTTTTAAAAAGTTTCTTAGATTTTTGAGGCAGAGTCTCATTGTGTAGCCCTGGCTGGCTGGAATTCACCATGTAGACAGGGCTGCCCTTAAATGCACGGAGATTCACGGTCCTCTGTCTCCTGAGTGCTGATGTTAAAGACCTACACCACCATGCCCTACCCTTGATACTGTCATGCCATTCGTGTGTGTGTGTGTGTGTGTGTGTGTGTGTGTGTGCGTGCATTTGTGTGTACATGTATGTGCATGTGTGTTTTTGCAAACTTCATGTAAGAATGTGTCTTTTGTCTTTCTTTATTCCTTCATTAGTCTCTTGAGTCTGCCCCTTTCCATTTGATATCTTTCTTCTCCCTCAGTCTCCCTTTTCATTTTATGTCATAAATAGATAGACTGATTCTGCATATGAGAGAAAACATGCTTGTCTTTCAGAGTCTGGGTTATTTTGTTTTGTATCATGATCTTCAGTTCTAGTATTTTTTTCCCCTGAGAATGACACGTTTATTTTTCTTTATGACTACATAAAATTCTATTGGATGGTTGGATGGATAGATAGATATAGAGATATGTCACATTCTTTGTTCACCCATTTGTTGATGGGCATCTAAGTTCCCTATGTTGGGTATTGTGAACAGAGCTACAATAAACATGGCTGTGCAAGTGTCTCTGTGAATATGCCAGCTTATATTCCTTTGGGCACAACCCAAAAGCAACATTGTTGTGTGACACTCTTCCTGGTGAGATGTGAATTCATCTCAGATGGGGAATTGGTGACAGACCAAAGGAAATATACCAGCAACATCTAATTTAGTGAGCCAATGAGTTTGTTGGGGTTACTTACAGGATCAGAAATGACTCAAATACAGCTGCATTATCAAAAGCCACCCCCCAGAATGGGTGACATCTCATGAAAGCTGGAAACTGGAAGTATACTGTACAACTTGTTAGACAAGTTGGAGAGCATCTCTGTACTTATATATGCTTAGAAAGGGGGAGGGGGCCTAGTGCTTCTGGTCAGTTTCAGGGACTTCCTGAAGCTTTCCAGTTGCCTACTTCCAGAGTTTTAATGAGCTTCCATGTGAGATGGAATATTTCACTTCCCTTTAAAACATTCTGTGCTTTAAGAAGCTACTCTTTAAGATGTAAGGTGTTTATCTCAGAGGAAATTGCTACACATCGGACATTTTCTATTAAAGACTAAGCAGTGAGAAAATATTAAGTATTACATATTGAAGGTAATAATTATTTGTTTTGTATTTTTATATCAATCTAGTGGCTGGTCTTAGGTAGAACAAAATGATGATATTTTTCATCTTGCTTTTTGTATCTTTTTGAACTTTCTAATGCCATACTTCTTGTTTTTAATGTGTATGTGTGTATGTTGCTTGCAAGTGTGTCTTGTGGACCATGTGCATGTACTTCTGGGGAGGCCAGAAAGGGGCCCTGGGACAAGAGTTATAGAAAGTTATGAGCCACCATGTGGATGCTGGGAAATCAAACGTAGGTCCTCTGGAGGAGCAGCCAGTGCTCTTAAATACTGAACCATCACTCTAGCCCCTACCTTGGTTTTCAATCCTATCATAATAATCTTGTTTTAATAACGTGGTTTCTCATTCTTACTTATTTAGAAAGTGAAAATAAAAGAGTCATCATGAAAAAGTTCTCAAAGAGAAGAGAAGAGATTTTTAAAAAGGTGAAGTATTAATGGGATTTTGGGGGGCTTTAAAAAAAACAAGTTTTTATAGCATTTTACTAAGACATACAATTTCTTGAAAACAGTGTTCATTTGCATCCAGTTGCTTTAGTGGTCTCTTGTCATACATTATGATCCTTAAACAGTTTGTAAACAACTTGGATGTAAGAATATTGGAGAGAAAGGGGCTTATAAAGGTCATCAAAAGCATCCATGCCTCCTCCCAGGCAATGGCATTCATCTTATGAGTTCATGTACTAGAGGCCATTTCTTATCTATTATGAATTGTTGGGGGGCGGGGTGGTGGCTATGGAGCCAGGTGCTAGTAAAGATGGCCCCAAGGGAAAGTGTAGAGGGTGGAACCCAAGTTGTTTACAAAAAGGTATGATTGGAGCTTCAGGTCAGGAAACATGATGTCAGTACATGATTCTCTCGTGGGTAACACTAAATACTGTAGACTAGGCACATGACCGGGTAACCTTCAAGCTGATTGGCCCAATGGGACATTCCATGCCCCCCCCTCCCCCCAGCACCCCAAACCTTGATTTCTTTATGCTTTTTTTGTTGTTGTTGTTTTTCGAGACAGGGTTTCTCTGTGGAGCTTTGGTGCCTTTCCTGGAACTCACTCTGTAGACCAGGCTGGCCTCGAACTCACCGAGATCTGCCTACCTCTGCCTTCTGAGTGCTGGAATTAAAGGCATGGGCCACCACTGCCTGGCTTTCTTTATGCTTTAAAAGAACTTGCTGTTTTTAAATAAATGAGTCATTGCCTGACTTGGTTGCATCTGATTGTCTCCTGGGAAAAAGGGAGGCTGGGGAACAGGCCAGTGAGCGGTGCACTTACCTTTCCTCGGTTCCAGGTTGTTCCTTCTGGAAGAGATAAGTTCCTGGTGCGGCAGAACCCCACAATGAATAGTACAATGATAGATATGACTGTGCAAATGTCTTTGAATTTTGTTTTGTTTTTTTGAGACAGGGTCTTTCTTTGTCACCCTGATGTTCTGGAACTCTCTTTGTAGACCAGGCTGGCCTTGAATTCACAGAGATCCACCTGCCTCTGCCTCCTGAGTGTTAGGATTATAGGCATGTGCCACCATGCCTGACTACAAATGCTTTTGATATGTTGACTTGAGTTGAGTCTATCTCCAGGAATAGTATAGCTGGATTGTATTATCCTTGCATTTTCAGTTTTTTTTAAGATGCTGCATACTGATTTCCTAGTGGCTGCCCTGGTTTAGATTCCTACCAGTGCATACAGGTTCCTCTTTCTTCACATACCCACAGCCTGAATTCATTGTTCTCTTGATGATGACCATTCTGACAGGATTGAGACAGAATCTTACACCAGTTTTAATTTACATTTCCCTGGTGGCTGAGAGTTTTGAGCCATTGATTGGCTACTCACATTGCTTCTTTTGAGAGCTATTTAGTGCACTGTCTTAGTTAGGGTTTTTATTGCTGTGAAGAGACACCATGACTACAGCAGCTCTTATAAAGAAAACACTTAATTGGGGTGGCTGCCACAGTTCAGAGGTTCAGTCCGTTATCATCAGGTCGGGGAGCATGGCAGTGTGCAGGCAGATGTGGTACTGGAGCTGAAAGTCCTACATCTTGACTCAGAGGCAACAGGAAGTTGACTATCACTGAGGGAATATTGAGTAAAAGAGACCTCAAAGCCCGCCCCCATAACGACACACTTCCTCCAACAAGGCCACACCCCCTAATAGTGCCTCACTCTTTGGGAGCCATTTTCTTTCAAACCTCCTCGTGCACAGAGCCTCTTCTGGTTGGATGACTAGGGTTGGTGTTTTGTTTTTGCAGTTCTTTAAAGCCTCTAAGCCACCTCTTTCCCGTGCTGGTTGTCTTTTTTTTTTTTTTTTTTTTTTTTTTTTTTCAGTATAGCAGCTTTTTCATTTGGGATTTTTCAGATGGGATTTGATCTTGTGATCATTTCCTCTTCTGATGGAGTCCTTTTCAGAGTCTTTGCCTATGTTCACTTGAAATGTTCTTGTCTATATTTTCTAGAAAACTCAAACAGTTTATCTAGCAGTTTAAAAGTTACACTGAAGTCTTTGATCCACTTGGAGTTGATTTTTGTATAAGAGAAGAGACGTGCATCATCCTATACGTGAACGTACAGTTTTCCCAGCATCATTTGTTGATGTTGTCTTTATTGCAATGTATGTTTTGACACCTTTTTCAAAACTTGGCCAGCTCCAGCTGTATGGGTTTATAGCTGGGTCCTGAGTCCACACTGGGAGACTAGGGAGACTGTGTTCTGGTGTCAGTCAAGGGTAGTGGCGGCTGTGACATTATCAGGGCAGATGTGCTCATCTGCAAAGAGAAAAAGAAGCAAAAGCTGTGACTTTGGACCACTTTGTATTATATCCAGGCTGCTGCTGGGAGGTGCCACTCTTTTGAGAAGGGTCTTCCCCTCAGTTAATCCTGAGAAACTAACTCCCTCAAAGACCTGCCCAGCAGGTGTGTCTCTTAGTTAATCTCAGATTCCTTCAAGTTGACAGCCAAGGTTAACCATTAAGGGCTTACCAGTCTGATTTATTTATTTTTTCTCCAAAGAATCAACTTCTTATATGATAGATTCTTTATGTTGTTCTTTTAGTCTTCATTTCTATTAATTTCTGCCCTGATCTCTTCTATGTCTGGTATCTATCTTTACATTTGGCTTGTTTTCCTAAGACCTTGAAGTAAATCATCATGTTATTTATTTGGAAATTCTCTTATTTAAAAGCCTTTATACCTGTAAATCTTCCTTAGTCATAGCCTAGAACAGCCGTTCTCAACCTGTGGGTTGCAGCCCCTTTTAGGAGTCCAATGGCCCACTCACAGGGGTCACCTACCACCATCCAAAACCACAGATATTTACATTGCAATTCACAATAGTAGCAAAATCACAGTTATGAAATAGCAGCAAAGATAATTTTATGGTTGGGGGGTCACCACCACATGAGGAACTGTATTAAGGGTCACAGCATTAGGAAGGTTGGGAGCCATTGCCTAGAGGTTTGGGTAAGTTGTACTTTCATTTTCATTTGACTCTAGGAACTTTTACATTTCTTCAAGGATGCACTCTTTCTTTGAGAGAGTACATTTCAGTCCCTAAGTGTTTGTAATTTCTAGGATTTCAGCTGCCATCAATTGCAGGCTTCATTCTGTGACCTGACATAAGAAACCACGTTGATCCTCTTGTATCTGCTGAGGTTTTAACGAGCTGAAAATGACTAAGTGGCTGAAAATCAAAAGCAGGAATTAAAAATCCCAATATAAGATGAAAAACAAGCTGCGAAATGAAGCAGCGAATATTCTTAGCAGCCTTTCCTCCTAGTTGGGATGGTGTTGCTCCTTCTGTCAGCCGTCAGCCGGCTGTTATTGGTAGCTTTGTAGATGGGAGGAGGGGTGCCGGTCTCCTTAATTCAAACAAGTTAGGTCAGGATGCCTTCCCAGCCGAGGGATGTTTGACAGAATTGTTGGAAATTAAAGCTAGATCTCCCTTTACCAAACTCTTCCCAAGGTCGGTCGTCTACTGTCACATCAGGGCGCTATCCTTGGTGTCTTCAGTTGTCTTGAGGATAGCATTGGTGGTTAGTGAGAAGGGGATACGTATATTGGCTCATGGTGACATTATTCAGAAGTTTTAACTGATATAGGAATCAATGGTAGATTTTGAAATTCCTTGGTAAAGTCTATTGACTAGATTCTTGTTATATTAGTTTTTTTTTTTTTAACCCACGATCATGTTGATAACCTGCTTTGATTTTCAACAAAAATCCATTCTTAAATTTTTTTCACTTTATTTGTGTGTGTGGGTGTTTTCCTGCATACATATACATGTCATAGAATGTCCATGGAGGTTGGACGACAACTTGTGGGTCTTTCATTCTACCATGTGGGTCCCAGGAATAGAATTCAGGTAGCTGGCATTGGTCCCAGGAATAGAATTCAGGTAGCTGGCATTGGTCCCAGGAATAGAATTCAGGTAGCTGGCATTGGTCCCAGGAATGGAATTCAGGTAGCTGGCATTGGTCCCAGGAATGGAATTCAGGTCGCTGGCATTGGTGACCAGCACCCCCTCCACTGAGCCATCTCACCAGCCCCGGAATCCATCTTCTTAATGTAATTGTGAAGCTAACATGTATCTTTTTACTTTTCCCACTCCAGCTGTTTTGGTCAGCAGGTGCAACTGTTTTTTCAAGAGTATATAGTAAATTTCAAGATATGTAATAATATATCTCAAAGTTTAAAACCAACTCACACTCCATACCACTAGAGTGGGAGAACAGTTACTTTATAGGCTCAGCTTTGAGAAACTGCGAATGTTCATGTTAACATACTGAACTCTTAATGATGGCATTCAGTTCCTCCTACCAGGAGGCAGTCAGATGGTGTTTGATGTTAGGGAGGGAAATCAGAGCTGAAGACACATATTTGAGAGGCCATGGAGTTCACCACGAAAGCCTTGAGTACATGTGCCTTTCTGTGATGTGTCCACTGAAGATACAGGGGAGAAGATGGCTAAAGACAGAAGGCAATGTAGTTTTCAGGAAGGGAGGTGTGTGTGTTGTCAGAGAAGTCCTCAAGGAGTGATACTCCTGTAATGTTGGGCTTTTAAAGTATTTTTATACGTGTATAATTTCATCAGACTTTTCTAGAAGAAGTATGAGACCAGTAGTACGTAAGCATAAAGAACTAAGTCTCAGTCACATTTTGTCATTTAAAGTTTTTTTTTGATATTACAGTTACTTAATTTTAAAATCAATCGTATATAAAGAATTCACATAAATTACTGAAAAAGAGATTCAAGTTTGAGTAGACAGACAAAGAATATGAATTGATACCTTACAGGAGACGATGTTTGGAAGGTTGATTGACATAAGAAGTGCCTGTCAGTAACTGCCAAATGCCATCTAACCTCCCTGCTTTCCCCCGCAGATGTCAGAAGCAGCAATCGGCGGTACAGAAGAGATAACGGACAGGCATCTCTCAAAAGGTTCTCCATCAGTGTGCCACAGCTCTAACATCCTTGGGTTTTAGTTTAAAGATGTAAATGATTCCTCCCGTCCTAGAGCTGCAGCATTCCAGAGTGTAAACATAAACTAGGCATCCTAGATAAGACAGGATGGGCCCAAAGAAATACATAGAAACTGAATTCATGATGTTCCATTTTCTCCTTCATTAACTGTACACGTTGAGGAGTCACTGGTGCCTGAGACTGGGTTAGACCTTAAATATGTGTGGATGCAGAATCTGCTTCAGAGGACCTCTTGTGACTTAACTCCTACTCCTCATCCCTACTTGCACAACTTACAAGTACTCAAGGGGTGGGGGAGGGAAAAGCAAACTGCAAGGGAACATGATCAGTTCATCTTCCCTTTTTTAAATTGTATTCAGAACTGTGCAACCACTGTCTTTCTCAGTGCATCCTATTAGTGGCAGAAAGTAACAAATGGCTTGGAGTTCACACACTTCCTTTGAGAGTCCATTCTTTCAGTTAATAATAACAACAACAACATAAAGTATCTTCGACATTAGTTCATGCCTTAGGGCATTCTATATAAAATAGAAAAGTTCTCAAAGGATTTTTTTCTAATAAGAAAACAACAACAAAGGATCTTTGAGTTGTTTTATGTCTTGCTTGTATACAGCAAAGACTCTGGCTGCTCTCTGAGGAAGAAGCAAGAGAGATGAGGAAGGATTGAGAAAAAGTTACAAAAGAAACACAATTTAACACAGATAAAACTGTTCCCCCTGAGGAAGGGAGAGAGCTGCAGGGTTCCGAGTGCTCATGGGACACTGGCCTTTCCTTCCTGCTCATCATGATGGTTAGGCACAGGTGCAGCTAAGCCACACATGATGCTTCTGCTGTCCTGCTGATTAATTAATAAGATGGTGTGAACTCTGTAACATTTGTGTCTTGATTTAGATGCAGAAGAAAATCGAAACATAACAAAGACACTGAGAGGCAAAGTAAGAGAAAAGCTAAAAAATGCTAAGGTAATGCTTTTAATTGCTTTGTCCTGTTTTCAGAATGATGTTATAAGTGGAACATGGATCATAATAAACTTCTTTTTTAATGTCAAGAAAGAGCAGACATTGTTTTAATATAGCTCAAATCTAAAAAGGCTTCAGTTTCCAGCCTGCTTTGTTTTTTCCTTCTTTCCTTTCTTTTCTTCTCTTTCTTTTAATCTTAGTCAGGGTTTCTGTTGCTGTGACAAAACACCATGAGCAAAAAGCGAGTTAGGGAGGAAAGGGTTAATTTGGCTTACACATCTACATCACTGTTCATCATCGAAGGAAGTCAGGACCATAACTCAAGCAGGGCAGGATCCTGGAGGCAGGAGCTGGTGATACAGAGGCCATGGAGGGATACTGCTTACTGGCTTGCTCCCCATGACTTGCTCAGCCTTCTTTCTTATAGAATCGATAACCAGCCCAGGGATGGCACCACCACAATGGGCTGGGCCCTCCTCTATTCTCCTCCTCCATCTTCAATCACTAATTAAGAAAATGCCTTACAGTTGGATCTTATGGAGACATTTTCTCAATTGAGTTTCCCTCCTTGCAAATACTTGTAACTTTTGTCAAGTTAATGTAAGGCTAGCCAGCAAACACCCCCTAATTTTAAACCTAATCAAAGAAAAATCAGTCCGGTCATAGTAATTATATATGACAATTCAGGTAAAGATAAATGTTTGTATGAATACATAAACACACTTTAAAATAGAAAAACATTGAGTGATTTTTATTCATTTTGGGCAAAAGACTTGCATGTTCTCCTATGCTCATTTTCTGTAATTTGTGTTTCAGATCAGTCAAGGTGAAAAGTCCTCAGCTCAGCTGCTCACTGATACAAAGATTCATCAATGGTCTAAGGTGAATAACTTTTTAAAAGACGTCTTTATGGTGGTATATCTTACACAGCAAAAAATTTGTCCACTTTTAGCACATGGCTTTTAGTTAAACTGTAGAATTGTGTGATGGACACTACAATCCAGCTTTAGGCCATCTGTATCGCCCCATAGAAGAACCCATTCTCATGCCCATTTGCAATCACTTCTCCCACTTAGCATTACTTCTTATCCTAATAAATTATAGTAAGATGCCATTAAAAGATAAACTTCAGCACATTAAAATTTTACAGAGTTTTCTTGAGCAGATAGCAACTCATGAATTGGGCAGCTCCAGATGGCAAGTGGTTAGGGATCCATGGGTGGGGGCGTGAAGGGAAAGCGGTCATGGAAGGCCTGAAGAAGTGAGAACATCTGATTTGGCAAAGTGGGGCAGTACTGTTGGCTGTTTTTGCTCTTTTGGGGGGCCCACCACCCAGCTCCCAAATAAATCACACACAGAGACTTAGTCTTATTTATGAATGCCTGGCCTTAGCTTGGCTTAGTTTCTAGCCAGCTTCCCTTAACTTTAATTATCCCATCTACCTTTTGCCTCTGGGCTTTTCCCCTTCTCTTACTTCTGTAAATCTTACTCTTACTCTGTGACTTGCTATGTAGCTGGGTGGCTGGTCCCTGGAGTCCCCCTCCTTCTCTGGCTCCTAGATCTCTTCCCAGATTTCTCCCTCTATATATTCTCTCTGCCTCCCAGCCCCACCTATCCTTTCTCCTGCCTTGCTATTGTTCATTCAGCTCTTTATTAGACCATCAGGTGTTTTAGACAGGCACAGTAACACAGCTTCACAGAGTCAAACCAATGCAACATAAGCAAAAGTAACACACTTAAAATAATATTCTGTGGTGGTATTATGTTCCCCAAAATATTGTGCACCCTAATAAACTTATCTGGGGTCAGAGAATAGAAAAGCCACTAGATACGTAGGATAGGCAGTGGTAGCACACGCCTTTCATCCTAGCATTCCAGAGGCAGAAATCCATGTGTTCAAGGATACAGCCAAGCATGGTGACTCACTCCTTTAATCCCAGAGAGTGATGGTGGAAAGCAGAAAGGTATATAAGGCGTGAGGACCAGAAACTAGAAGCATTTGGCTGGTTAAGCTTCAGGCTTTCTAGCAGCACAGTTCAGCTGAGAGCCATTGGGATGAGGACACAGAAGCTTCCAGTCTGAGGAAACAGGATCAGCTGAGAAGTTGGCTAGACTCTTTAAGATTCCTGCTACAATATTCTACTACAGGGAAGTAACTGTAATAATGTCCCTCATCAGTAGTCAGCAGGCAGTTCGTGATTGAAAACTAAGCTTCATGTTCCTAGCGTAGGTCTCACTACATTGAATTCTTACATAGGAACTATGGACTTTGGAATCACCTCGGTCCAAGGACCTCTCAGTTAATTACTCTAAGAGCATTAGAGATGCTCCCAAACTTAGAGATTTGGTGCTAGAGTCTGTGTGCCATTGCATATTTGAAACGACTCGGACTTGGGGTAGTAGCTGTGTTAGAGTACAGGCTAAATTGCTGTAACAAAAACCATAAAAAAATGAATGACACAATTAAAAATAAAAATGTCTGCATTAAAAGAGAAGTCTTACCCTATCTCAAAAAACCAGAGAGAGAGAGAGAGAGAGAAAGTCTTGCTCCCCTCTAGTTCACCTGTTAGTTACTCAGACTGATGAATGTCATAACACCTGCGACGTGCTTTTCATCTCTGAGTCCACGGCACACAGTTCTGTGTTTTCACTTGTTAGTCAAAGATAAAGAAGAAGAAAGAAAGGAACTGTAGTTGCTTTTTACAGGACAAACATGCAAATTGTCCGAATCATTTCCAGTAAAAGAATATGGAAGAAGTAGCTAAGTATCCAGTCAGGAGTCAGTTCTGTGATCAGAGCTGGGAGGACTGTGTGGGGAGCTGGTAATTTAGCCTCAGGCAGGTGAGATAGTTAGTACTTCAGATCTTAAAATACAAGGATCCTTTACACATGTGGTGCACACAGAGTCACATAAGCACACACAGATGCATACATAAATATAAAAATAAATTAATAAAATAAATGAAGAATTGCCTTACCAAATACAAGCTTATGTGTGCAGGGAGCTGATGATAAGCAGAGACAATGGGACAGTTTGTATGTACAGGCAGCTAAACTACATATAAACAAAATATGAGGCAAATTTCCACACTTTGTGTGTTTTGAAATTCTTTGATTTCAAGTGTGACTTTTTGTCATGGAATTGAATCCCTTCTAACCTTCTCTTAAGGCAATATATATGCATGAGGATGAAGTGGTATGATTTGTATTTCAAGGAGTCAGAATTGGAAGCATGAAAAAAGAGTACTTATTTATGAATGAGTCTGTAACTAAGAATATGCCACCCATTATTGCACATGTCCATGAGAACCCTTGAAAATGGGAACATTGACCTGGGGCAGCATTTTGATTCAATTGTGAGATAATCCTCTAACATCTGGTTAGCATGACAGGGTAGAGAAGGAGATTTTTGGCTTTGCTCAGTTTTGGTTCTCACTATAGTTACTAAGACACTTTTTAAAAAAAGTAATTTATGAATCAAAGCTAAGTGATACAGACTGATAAAACAGCTGCTGTGTTGTCCCATGTTTGCTATTAAGCTGCCATCTGCCCTACTGTGGAAGTGTTTCTTGCCTTGCTTGTAGACAGTGCATGTATCCATTAAACACTTGTCTGCTACTGTTTAACCCCCAGAATGAAGTCTTGCTGGATGAAGGTCTTTCATTTTTCCTCCTGAGTGGGGAAGAAGACTCAGCCCTGAGCCGGTCTGCACAGCAGGTTGGATTTGTTTCTCCATTTTACATCCTTACTCTCGCCCAAACCAGCCATTTATTAAAGGCATAGGATGAACGAGCTGGACAGGAGATGGATCCATGTGTAATGAGTCTTTCTCTGTCCTGCCAGACAGCTCCCAAATAATGACACAGA